TTTTCTGCCCAACTGGAACCAATGCCGAAACCGGATCGTAATCGGATAACCCATCAAAGATCACAGTATCACTCAAAAGGTATCTGGTGGAGCCAGGAGGAGTGATGAGATCAGTAGGGTTTGCAGAGCTCTTCCTCACAACAACACTCTCACTTAGAACAGAAGAAAACTTCTTCACATTTTCATCCAACTTTCCTTGTAAAAGATTACTACTCTTCCTCTTCTGGTCTTTTTCTTTTGTGGAACTCTTTTTCTTGTTTTGATGATCAGTGCTTGGTCTTGGTGATGAGGAGTTTTTTTTCTTGCTCTTTGAGAGTTGGTGGTAGGCTTTGGGGTTGATGGGAGATTGGGAAGAGCATGGAGCAATGGGAAGGGTTCTGGAGCTTGTGCTTCTTCTTGCATCTTGGATGATGGGGTTGTGGCGGTCGAGGGCTCGGCCACCGAGTTGAATGACGGAGGAGGAAGAGGAGGATGCTTGATTCTCCATGCTCATGCATATGGTTGTTGAAGCTTGGGATGCACAGAAGATGTCTATGCCTTTCATCTTCATATTTGATATTGATAACACAGAGTGGGAGCTAGTGGTTTAGAGAATCTGCATAAAAGGAGGAGCGAGAGAGAGAGAGAGTGAGAGAGAGGAGGTTTAGAAAGATGGCCGGTAGTTTAATTTCTGCTTTTGAGCTTGAAGCTTCCTCTTGGAGATAAAGGAGATATTGAAGAAACATAATGTGGTTGTAGATTCCAAGCAAGTTATAAAAAAAAATGATTTTTTAGTAAGAAAACTGATTTAATTGTATGATACACTGGAAAGATAATGTTGAAAGTTTTTCACAAAGTGATTTTCGCACTTTCGGTAGTTTTTCCTTCGCACTACTCGTCTCTTTGCTTTTGTCTATTTTAATCTATTCAAATTTATTACTGTTAGAATAAGAATTAGAGTTGGAAGAAAAATGAAAAAGAGTGCAAAAATCACTTCCATATAGTGCCAATATTAAATTAGACTATTCCAATACCAAAAAATGAAAGTAAACTCCCACATATCATGGGGCAGTACAAGTAGGACTTGGTGCTGAGACTCTGGTTAAAAAGTAAAAAAAAATTGAGGGGAATTGAAGAAGGAAAGTAAAAAAGTAGTAGAAGCATCCTTTATGATATACAGCTAACTTATCTGCGGATTCAATGGATGAAAATGATGTGTAGTAAGTGCCTAGTTTTATTTCCTTTCCATGCATGTGTTACCATTTACCAATTGTATTACAAGTCATAATTTCTGCATTGTCTCATTATTATTTTTAGAGGAAGACACATGCAATTTCGACCTAAAAGTGAGTCATATATCCTTAAAACTTTCAAGACAAAAGTATCCACTCAATTTTCACAAATCCACCTCAAACTCAATTTTGGTTTTCTCCAATGGGATATCTACAGAATACAGCAACACTTTCTCACTACAATGTGTCAGTTGTAATTAAATATTAAAGACACTAAAATGTCTAAAAGTGGATCGAACTTGAGATCTCTTCCCTTGGTAACAATCGTTGCGAGATAAAAAGCAAGCTAATTGATGAACCTATAGTTACGGTACAGATGTTTATCTATTTTTTATTTTTTCTGAAGTAGAGTATGACGTTCATTAATGGAGGTAAAAATGAATAGGAACAAAGAGAGTGAGTGTCCGCACCAAAATACAAACAAATTTACATCCTCTAATAACAAGTCGACGATCAACAGGCAGTTCTTTAAACTAAATGGTCTCTTGTTCTTCTCCGACTCCATTTCGAGTTCGTCTCTCTGCAATTAGATGAAGTAATTTATGAGTGTCGGTGTGCCATTACATAGGTAGTTGTATAACTCGTATTTTGAAATACTGTTATCTTTTTGGTATTCCTTCATTTGGTATCATGTTTTTCTTTCAAGTAATTAAGGAATTGCATCAGGAGAGCATCAGATATTGCAGATGGTGCACTAAGACCAATATAAATACATAATTAATTAGGGCATTTGATGGTGTACTTACAGAGCTAAATATCCTAATTTTGGCTTGGATAAGAGTGGAGGACCCGTGACAGTTTCCTTTGGATGCTTTAACCTTAAGATTTATATAACAATGGAAAGTGAAAGAAATTGTACCCTGCAAATACTAATTTATTGTATAGTCGGATAAACTGTTGGCCTGGGGCTTACATGCCCAACAAATTTATATTCACTACTTCTTCACACGCTTGGCAGCAACTTGTCCCCATGAGATTAGTCTTTGAAATGAAACAAACAAAAAATCAGAAGAAACAGACCAACGGCTTCCTCAGTTTCAGCGTGACTCTTAATTTTATGTTATAAATTCACTTAAGTTATAAAACATGCATATCTTCTTATTAAGACTGTATTTCAAATCCGTGATATATCAATCATGTTGCACTTCATGTTATAACACATGGCGAGGCAGTCACACTCATAGCAACTTAGTACATGTTGTGAGTTCAAATTATATTGAACTTTTTAGTCAAAATGGTCTCTGAGATTTGCATAACACATAACTTTGGTCCTTGATATTTAAAATCAATAGAAGTGGTCTCTGAGATTGTCCACTATCCATTATTTTGATCATTCCGTTAAAAACTCCGTTAAGTTGAGGTTATAACACATAACTTTGGTCCTTGAGATTTGCATAACACATAATTTTGGTCCCTGAGATTTGCCTAACACATAACTTTGGTCTCTAAGATTGTCCACCATCTATCATTTTGGTCCTTCCATTAAAAAGCTCAGGGACCACTTAACGGAGTTTTTTAATGGAATGATCAAAATAATGGATGGTGAACAATTTCAGGAACCACTTCTATTGATTTTAAATCTCAGGGGTCAAAGTTATGTGTTATGAAAATCTCAGGGACCATTTTGACTAAAAAACCTTTTGAAATTGCAAGATTTTGTAGCTCACTTAACTAAAACCATTTCCCTTTGCAAATGAGGTTACAAGTAAAATTGAGATTACGGGTTTAATTCCACTTCTCTCGTATCGCTTGTCTTAAACAATCATATTATAATTAAAATTGAAAAGAAAAATATAAGGGTTTGAAGAATTAAAGAACAAGAAGAAGGTCCTACAAAAACGTTCTTAAGAAGCCAAGCATACCAGCAATGGAACAAAGATATGAAAGGAAAGCTTTCCAGATGATATTTATCATGCAATTATTTAGATTCCTATGGAATAAATGTTGCCAGCATATAAATGGAATAAAAGAAGGGAAAACCATTTGGAATTTTGCTTTCTTTTCTATGGATGGATGAGACACAAAGTTCTCACTGTGAGAGATATTTCTACTCGTCAAGGGTTGTGGAATCAGATGCTTATATAAATGGCTACCATCACTCATTAACTCCTTTCCTTTTCTTCCTTTATATTCCCTGCCTACCCTCCACTTTCACCAATTCAGACTCCCAATTCCAAACGTTTCCATCCTTTTTTTTAAATATATTTATTTATTTTTCCCGCTCTCTGATATTCTTGATTAAGAGTCTCTCCTTCTCTCCAATCACTTTGTCAAACGTAACTTAAATAAATTGGTTAAGACAATGTGTCTGCTCTTATGCAATCAAGTTCAGTCTCTTTTGTTGTAAGCCGTAGTTTAAGAGAGCAACTTACGTCAAATGAGTTCATAGTTATCGTGGCACTCGGTCTAATAATCAATATACATGTCAATGTGTTACTGGATGAAGACATCACGTAGCGGTGAATCCTTTCCATGCAAGTCCAAATAAAATAGATAGACATTTCTCTTCATCTCAGGTCGTGACGGATCTTCTCAATTCAAAGATTTCTCGTAAGTCGTAGTTTAGAAGAGTAGCTTACATAAAACGAGTTTATCAGCGATGTCCCGGTTCAATAATGCATTACACACATGTTAATGAAAAGCAATGAACTTGGTAATCCCTGGTCTTTTGTTTTTTGACTTAGTCTAGAACTTCAATTGGACTTGCATGGAGGTGGAAAATGGTGGGGTTGTTTAGAAGGTAAGCTTTCTTCTTTTTTGCTTTAAAGTTTGGTCAAAACTTTATTAGAAAATTATAAATGCGTTCTGTAAGTGAGAGGGCAGCTTTTTCGTGCCTTAGATGAGATGGTCCCAGGAAGGGACTCTGTGCAAACCATGCATGGCAATATGACATGGAATTTGATCCCAAGTTCCAAACTTTTACCTACCAAGATTTCGAAAGGAAGAAAAAGGCCAAAAAAACAAAAAACAAAACTTTATTGGATTTTAGTCAGCAGAACATAGGGTTTGGGATTAAAATTTAAAGGGATTTTCTTGTATATAAAAATTATCTGAAGTTTGATGGATTTTTGTCATTCTTGCTAAGCAAGTAAAATAGTTATCATTCTTTCCCTTCATACCAAATGTTATCTCACCAAAAGCACTTGTAACTTGGAGAAATTTGAGTCACTGGATGAATACTTCTCTATGCCTATACATCTCGTTATGTGATCAGAAAGACAAATAGAACAGCTCTACAGATCCAGTGACACAACAGAACCTCTTGTTAGTGCGGCACAAACCGAAGCCAATGCCAGACATCAGTGGCGAGCATGGACTTGATATGTTGGTCGATTTGCTGCCCAAGGTGACAGTACAATATGACTTGGAGTGATTTATAGGCACTCTAATGTTATGATATTCCTTCTACACACCCACAACATTTGACAAATATACTAAAAGCAAACCTTAAATGGAAAAATCGAGGGAGGACCGAGGAGCCAGCAAGTCTCCGTCTTCCCCACTCCGATGACCCATTTTCCTCAATTCCGGTCAACCCCTCCCTATCATCTTTAAAGCTTCGACCAAGTTGAGAGGAACAGAGGAAGGGGTTCGCGGTGATGACAAGAGAGGGGGAAGCACGTACCTAGAAAGGGCGGTCGAGGCGAAGCCGTTTCATTTTCTTCGTTCTAGTTTAGTTTTAAAAATGTCAAAAAGAATTCAGACTACCACCTCTTATCAGTATTAGAATTTTCTGCAAGGAGAATCAACTTTCGTTTCAAGATACCTAAAAAAATGTCAAAAAGAATAAAAGAAGATACATCCTTCCACCAACACAATGTGTGCCAGAAAATGTTGTAAAAAAATTCATCAAAATCTAGTGACTGTAGACTCTCTGCTGATCAAGCACGGCCGTTAAACAGATACATTTCCTACAGTGGCATTTTGCTTGAATTGCCAGGTAATGTGAACTGAGGATGACAATAATAAACGAATCGATTTGATACAGTCATGCTTCACACTATACATACCGGTTCTCCTCATTCTTAGTTAATCCCTTTTCCTTCATCTTCATTTAGAATGCGATTCTGGAAATCACTCACCATTAGGGGCAGTCCTTCCCTCAGTGAGACTTTCGGCTCCCAGTTCAATAACTCCTTGGCTTTGCTAATATCGGGCTTCCTCTTGTGTGGATCATCAGCAGTGTTTGGTCTGAATTCTATGGTCGCACTAGAATCAATTGTTTCTTTGACAACCTGTTCATCAGGAAAAACAGAAAATTGAGAATGCCATCGTACAATCACTCTGTTGCGAGCATAAAAATTACTTGAGAATACCAAATATTGTAACAAACAAACATAAAAGAAAGCAAAATGCTAAAAATGTTTTATAAGAATTACCTCCCAAGCATCTTTAATATCATATGGCATTTCTATGTCTAAATGGAGTGTCTAAAATACATTAAAACTACGGAAACACGATTAAGACAAACCTCGGCAAGCTCTAGCATAGTGAACTCCCCTGGGTTACCCAGGTTGAAAGGTCCGACATGTTCTCCATCCATCAATGCCATCAGTCCATTGACCTGTCATTGTAAGAAGTGTTTTATAAGACCCATCCATCACATCATTTCAGTAATTTATTCACTGCCCTTAGGATTCAAAGTCAGACAAAATGAATATTAAAGATTTGCAAGCCTTCAGAATTCAGATCATGTCCTAAACTTTAACTGCTTCTAGAATTGCCTGGTGATCATGAGATCTATTGTTTCAGCCATACAATGTACATGTTTCTGAGTACAAAAACATGAAGAATATGCGTAAGTAACGCAGCATGCGCAAAAGTTGCAAGGAAAGAACTATATAACGATACAAAAAGTCTGGCATACCAAATCAGAGACATATTGGAAGCTTCGTGTTTGTTTACCATCACCGTACACAGTCAATGGTTGTTTGCGGATAGCCTGCACAGACAGCCAAGGTAGTTAATAAAACAATGAGAATCACATTGCAAAACATTTAGTCTTCATGAGTTATTTCATTGAACAAATTTCAAAATCACTTTAAAAGAAAAGGGTTGTATTAACCTGAGCAACAAAATTGCTAACCACACGCCCATCATCTAAACACATACGCGGCCCATAAGTGTTGAAAATTCGAGCAATACGCACCTGAAAACAGAAATCTTTATATGAGTTTGACAAGTCAATTGTGGAAAATAAGTCGATGAATATCCTACCTTACTTTTAGCCACATTAGTTAAAACTTCTGCATGATAGAAAAGGATTTCAAAAGGATTTGGATGAGAGAAAAGGTTTAGAAATGGAAGATGACTTGTATGCTTCACTCAAGGATAAATTAAAATTGAAACTGGAGCAGGGTGAAAATTTGCATCAAACAACCCATACATGGAAAAAAACCCATATAAAAAATTTACTTGGCTAGGGTTCAAGTTGGCATTATCATATAGTTCAAGATACCGTAAAAGGAAAGCCCAAGCAACACTTGACTACTTGCAACCTGCAACCCTTAATTTTACAAAATCGTAATGCGTAAGTCCACCGAATCAACATTTATAATGACAATTAAAGTATAGAACAGAATAGTTTTCAAAGGGAAAGAATATGCATAAAGTAGAATATGTGGAATGAATTAAAAGAACAAACAAGGTCACCCAAAGTCGAATTTCACTATAAAAGCTCCCAATGCAAGGAGGGAAATGGCGGGCGGGTACCACTAAAGTGAAAAGGCATGCAGTTTCTCAAGAATAAATTGGTTATGGAATACCAGATCGGAGATATCAATACAAAATTCCAACATAATCCTACTCAAATGTAAAAGAATGACATTAACATTCTACATCTGCATGCCTAACAATCCAGGCACCAAATGATGGATTTCAAAACAGCTCATTTACAGGTTAACATCAGAACCATAATTTCAGTTACCTCAACATCTGCACCTCGATGATAATCCATTGCCAATGTCTCTGCTGTCCTCTTTCCTTCATCGTAACAGCTCCTCTCACCTACTCTTTCCAACCACACATGTGCATAAACATATTAAGCAACAGAAATGCATTGTGGACGCAAACATCTAACATACAAAAAGAAACTAACAACACACCTATAGGATTCACATTTCCCCAGTAAGTCTCCTTCTGAGGATGCTCCAGCGGGTCGCCATAAACCTCACTGGTACTAGTAAGCAAAAACCGTGCCCCAATTCGCTTGGCAAGTCCCAGCATGTTAAGGGTACCCATCACATTGGTCTTGTAATCACAGTCAAGGACCTCAAAACCCGAAATTTCAGAATTCAACACAAAAAATCAAGCAAACAACAACAACCCAAATGCCAAAATTCAATAAAAACTACGATAAAAGCATAACTAGTTGAAAAGGATATAATTGTCTTGACTGGGTTATACTTGTAATGAACAGGGGAGGCAGGGCAAGCCAAATGGTAGATCTGATCCACCTCCAACAGAACCGGCTCGACGACGTCGTGCCGAATGAGCTCGAACCTCGGGTTCCCGAAATGATGCACCAGATTGTTCTTCCTCCCAGTGAAGAAATTATCAATCACAATCACATCATTACCTCTGTCAAGGAGCTTGTCAACGAGGTGGGACCCGACGAACCCAGCTCCGCCGGTGACGACGATGCGGAGCCTCCGCTTGCCGAGGGCAACAGGGACGCGACCGACCTTGGCATGAGTGGGCTTGGAGACGAGGTCGTGGGCGGTGGAGAAGGATCTGGAGACGGTGTTGATGGCGGAGTTGGGATCGGAGGGGCCGAGGCGGGAGAGGGTGGGCTGGAGGATGAAGAAGGTGGAACCGATGAGAATGCCGACGAGGATGAAGAGGAGGCGCTGCTCCTTGAAGAGGTAGTTGATGGATCTGGGGAGTGATCGGGGGTGCTTGAGAGCTTTGGGGGAGTAGGGAGAGCTTAGGGTCGATGGGGTCTCTTCGTCCCGCCGGTGGTTCACGCTCGATTGCTTGTGCAGTTGCTTCATCATTACAATTTAGGGAATTGGGGATTGAGATTTTTTTTTTCTCTGTCTCTTCTGGTTTTCTGGGTTTGGGGAGAAAGACAGAGACTTTCTGGTCCAGGTGAAAAGGATTAGTTGGGGACTGCGTGTGTGTGTGTGTGTTTTGGTATTTGGGCCAGGAAGGTGAAAGGTCTGTTTCTGAGAGGTGGTTATGGTTATGGTGATGGCGATGGCGATGGAATACGATCGAATGTTGGGGGTTGCTTTGAGTAATTAGGAAGGGATTTGCATTTTGATTGGACCCAGATTTGATGATGAAGCACGCGGGTGGCAGTTGGTGTGTGGGAAATTATGCTACGATCAAGGGCATGAGTTAGCTTATAGCTTAGCTATGTTTTGAAAAATGAGCAGTGAAGTAATACACTTAGGGGGCGTTTGTTTGCCCTCACTAAGTTGGACTGGATTGGACTGGACTAGCTATTAGTCCAATACTGTGTTTGTTCCATGCTGGGACTAACATTAATGAGACTAAAGGGGACTAGCATGGACAAAACCCTTCACTAAGAGGTCTTAGCGAGACCCCCCAATAACCATGGGACTAGCTAAGGCTATCCTCTCTTTCTCGTCCTCGTCATGCTCAACGACCACTCCCGACAGACTTCTCATCATCTCCGGTCACCTAGATCAATCATTAACTTTCCGACTCTCTTTCAGATCCATTTCACAATCAACTTTCATATAAAATATACCAAATTGAAGCTGGGAGTGACAAGATTACGATTTTACCTGAATCGAGGCTAAAATGTGGTCGAATGTGGCCGAAAAATGGCCTGGAAGTCTTGGCCTGTTTGGGCTTCTTCAAATCCATGACAGATTCGAGCATTCAAAGCTAGGATCTCGGTCTAGGGATGGTGATGAATTTTTTGGCAGTGCTAACTTCATCCAATTTAATGAGGGTTGGCCGGAAAACACATCGGGAAACCTGCAACTCGTCGGGAAAATTGAAGCCGTGAGGTTCTGTTCGAACAACGCATAGCTAGAGAGGGAGGGAGGACAGAGAAATAGAGACTTGAATCAATAAGGAGTTTGACAAGGAATGAGAAAGAGACATGAATTGAGAGGTCTAAGAGGAAAAAAAGAGGGAGAGGGTGGGACGATGAGAGAACAGGAAAAGAGTGGGAAGGAAATGGTAGGAAAAGATGGAGAAAAAGATAAGATCATAATAAAATATTAATAATTTATATATTAAATAATATAATATTAGAATTTGTTATTATCCAGCTTCTTAGTCCAATACTGCACCAAACGCTTTACTAAGTTAGTCCAGTTTAGTCTAGTCTAAGCCAGTCCAGCTTAGTCCTTGAAGCTAATCCAGTCCGAGATAGTCCGGCGCAACAAACGTCCCCTTAATATCTGTGGCATTATTTATATTATTTATTAGAGATAATACAAATAGGTAGTAAGAATAGTATTTTTTTATAACAAATACTATTTTGTGCAAGTATGAGCACGACTATAACATCACGTGAGTGTAAATTGTAAGAGGAAACTGTGATTTTTCACCTGAACTTTCACTTAATTTAAAATTTTCCCTTAAACTTTTCAATTGAAAAATTAAGGACTTAAACTAATTTGTTTGGCCAATTTCCCCTGCTAGTGCACAACATGTGAAGGTACTTCGGTCACTTTGTTCTTTAAAATAATTAAAAACCCTAAATTTCTAGAATGTCAACCTATGCAAATTTGTGTGATTCTATCATTTTATAGTTTTTGTGTCTGAATGTCTAGCGAAATGACACTTTTTTCCTCAAATGAGAGACATGTAGTGTGCATGTGATAAGAGTGAACGTTAATTTGAATGGAATATGGAAAACTAACGGTAAGGGGAAATTGGCCAGAAAAAATTAGTTTAAGTCCTTTCCAATTATAAGGATTAGAGGGAAAATAGAAAGTTAGGTGAAAGTTCAGAGAAGAGATCAGCAATTACTCTAAATTGTAATACTGTGCGAGTTAGTATTACCATGTTACCACAAATTAGTGAATTAATAATTATATTTTGATTTGACCAAAAAAAATTATTATATTTTGAAAATATTATTGTGTGGGTACAAGAGTGATGCAAATTATATAACGTAAGTAACTATATGGTTTTATTAATTTATTCAAATTATAATACGATGACACACAAATTATTAAACATGTTGTAATAATGTTGTTACGATCCATTTCAATAATTATTCTATTTTATTCTTATAGGCCTAAAATGACCGAAAATCCTCTAGAAGAGAAAGTGTTGACTATTGTATCGTAACATGTATGGTGAATTATTTTAACATATTTGTGTGGTATTCGTCATCATGAACGTGTGAACACAAGCTAAATGCATTTTTAGAATTCGAATGAGGAAATTATGAATTTTCAAGTTAGTTAAAGTTTGAGCAATTCGCCAATAAAATTACATAGACCCTTTGGGGCCACTTTTGGAATAGTTGGATAGAGTTCGATTACACAAACGCGTATGTGAAACCGTTTGCAAAACAGAGTTATAACAAAGGAGAAACAAGTGAGCAAAAGAAGAACAAATTGGTCTTTTGGACCTTCTATATATAGCAATCCCGGTAAGTTGAAGCAGCCTTTCCAAATTTGGAAAACCAACCCGAATAGCCGACCCAAATTCCCCCATTGACCCGCGAACTGACCCCAGTTCGTTCGACCATTTTCAAGCACGTTTTTTGATCAATTTCTAACGAAAATTGTCACCACCACACTATTAGAATTCTTTCGTTCCAACGAACAAAACCCACTTAAGAACCACCTCGTTGAACCACCGTACGTGGCGGTGCTGGCCACGAAGTTCAACGGGTACCAGGGGCTTTACCTTTTTTCTGCTAATCCAAAAAGCAATGACCTATGCGACCACCTGGGCTTTGTAGCCCATCACTCCAAAAGTAAAACTCAACCAGTTTCACTTTCGTTGGACCTTTGAAGGTGGTGTGATGAGCTTCAGAAGTTTTGGACACCCGCCGCCTTTATCGGCGAAATTGACTGTCTTCCATCTATTATTGGACTTCCTCATATATATGAAAGTTGTTCCTTATTTAAGATCTACCTTCCTGCAAAATTTGGTAGAAAGTGGAGTTAGTCGGAAAACTGAGTTTCCATTCGCTAGAAACTGCCACGTGCAGCAGCACGTGATCAATGACCTAACCGTGTAAGTTTGACACTCTGAATTCATTTTAGATATTCTTTTCATGTAATTCCATTGTTTAAGCCTAGTTTCGTAAACGGCCTCCATTTGACCTTTATGGTAGGAAAAGATCCGGCCGTTGGATCAATAAAAAAATGTAGTATGCTATTGTGTAAGTAATATAAAACTAGTGGATCAGCAATTTGATGTGCAAATCTTTTAGATTGGAATAGTTATGGGTGTTCACTTTAACGGGAATCACCCTAACCAAAGTTTGAGGCTTAGCTAACATGTTCTAAATTTTGAATATTAAATGGGGTGTGATATCCACACATCCCGTTTTACTTCTTACACACCTTTTTAATTTTCGGCCGTTGGATCAGATGAATTGAAGAATATCAACAGATAGAAATTATCAAGGACACACCCCTATTAAATTTAGCATTACTAGAGACCCGATAAAACCTAGCGGGCCTAACTCAGTCAATGTGCCACCTTGGGTGAGGTGTAGCTTGATTTGCATACAAAAGGCACTGTACCTTGATTTTGTAGATTAAATGATTATATAATATGAAAGCCCTATTGAACTTGGCGCTATATACTAGTATGTGTTAGATATAAATGTAGTGATAATGTGTGATTTTTAGTATGTTAGACGAGTCAGGGACTCTATTAGAATTTCAATAAAACTAGTATATAAGAGCATTCCACGTACTATGCTTGGTATAACAAGATACTTGGTTGATATGTAGAATCGACATGTAATGCTTATAAGTGTGATGTTTTGGTGTATGATGCATGATGTGTAATAATTAGCATGCACCATATAGCAGTGTGGTAGATGAATGGCTCTGCCCAATCAATAAACATTGGGGGACTATACGCATTCTAGGGTTTGGGTTTCGTTGAGTTGGTCCTGAACCTTACATTATTAGGATTTTCTTAAATTGGTCTGGATTCCTGGTTGTTAGATTGATTCGTCTCGCAATTTTGGAACTCGATACTTTCATGCTAGATAATTTCAGAAGAATTTTAAAAGCCATTGCAAATACAAGATTTGAGTTTAATACGTAGGCAGTCTAACTCGAAAGTTAGATGCAACCATAAGATTAAATATAATTTTAGTTACATTTATAGGAAAACGGACTTTAGGAGTTAATAACATATCGTATTATGTACGATTATATTTTAGGCTTACACGTGTGTGATTTGTGTTCAGTTTTTCCATACTGCGGCATGACATCTAGTTTGCATGTATATGATAAATATATTCAGCTTGTTCATACTACGGACATGACATTCAATGTATGATTTATATTCATACACGTGTAAGCTAGATGTCATGTTCATAGAATGGACAAGTTGAATATAAATCATACACGTGTAAGCTCGATGTCATGACATGATTATACACGTGTAAGCTGAATATAAATCATACACGTGTAAAGAAATAAAGAAGTCATTGCAATTGCCGAAAATACTAAGCCCACTAAAGGCACAAAAATGGAGGGGAGACTATTGAGAGTTATCATAGAATGGGTACCTCAATTTAATATTTGTACCTTTTATTTATTGTTTTATATTTTAACCTTATCCTTGTACTGTTATAAAGGTATCTTATAATTCATATATAATTGTTATATTATACTAAGTATACCTAAGTGAGTATATATATACTTAACAGGAATAGGGAGTCTATAAGTACATGTTTTAAGAAATAAGGGTGTGATATCTATACACCTTATTTTATTTCTCACACACTTTTTTAATTTTCGGCCGTCGAATCAGATGAATTGAAGAAGATCAATGGACAAAAATTATCAAGGGCTGTGTGAGAAGTAAAATGGGGTGTGTAGATAGCACAACCTAAGAAATATAATAATTCAACTCTTCTTTGTTTAGTAATAATTTAACTGTTCAATAAAATACTTCTTGTAAAAATATCAATAACCCGTTGGTTTCACATACGAAAAAAAATTCTATATTAATTAATGAATTATGACACAAATTACATATCTATTAATATGTATATGGGAAAGAATAAAAGTAACAAAGAATAAATAAAGTAAAGAATAAAAGTAACAAAGAATAAATAAAGTATATTTAGCTTGTCCATGCTACGAACATGACATCCAGCTTACAGATGTATGATACAAGTCAAATCCTAGATGTAGAAATATAAGAAGGCAGAT